GCACCAAGAGGGATTTCCTCTGTTTTCATCTAAGTCAGTGACCTTTAACCTATTTGAATCTAGGACCCCTTAGAATATCTGAAGAAAGCCATGGCCCCTCCCCCCATAAGAACTCCAGCGTACATGCCTCCTAATTTTATACAGAATTTCAGAGAATTCAGAGCCACTTATAACCCCCTGCTCTAGGTTAAGAGTGAAAACCCAGCCACAGCCATGTGGTGAGGTACTTATCAAGGCCTCACATCTGTCATCCTCAACCAAGTTAGTCCTGCCCCGTGAGCACCTGTTTTGCTGATTAGACATATACTGAGCCCCAACTCTTCTGTCGTGCTTGCTCAGATACAGTACCTAACAAATTCTACAGTGCATGTGCGTAATAAGCAATTAACGACTACCCAGAGGTTCTGAGAATCTTCTTTATCTTGTTGATGTTTATGGATAGTTTTGTTCATTGAGGTTAGAAACTCACTACCAAAGTCCTTCAAAGAACTGATACTAAGAGAAGCGCACTCTCTACAGAGGACTCTTAGAGCTCAAACAAGCAATGAAGTTCCACTTACCCTGCTCCATGATGGGCTGTTTTCATGTTTTGCGTGTATAAAAAGAAAAGAGAACTTTTATAGAAGCCCTTCTAAAACTGGTTTTAACTCATTTGTATAAAAACAATCCCAAGTTAGGGGTGTATGAGACACAGGGAAATGTTTGGAGCAGAACCTTCTTATCCACAAGGAGTGATGATGAATGGAGTCAAAAAAAGAGCTTGGAGTACCCATGTTAGAAGATTAAAAATGGAAATTCAGTTTCCTCTCAGAAATGGGTCTTGCATTGTGTCACTGGGGACAATGGAAATAGAAGCCAGAAGTCATAGTTTATTTTGAGAATGTTGTAGAACATTTGTCGTCCCCTATTAGATGCTTGTGTTACGCAGCACTGGGGACATCCTAGAACTACACTTGTGCTCTGACCTCTACTGTAGTATACCACTCGCTCTCAGGGAACACAGTCTTTCCTAGCTGTTGCCATATATATATGTTCTTATTCCAATCTGATCCTCACTCCTCCCCAAAATAATCAGCATGAACAGAATGAAGCAGATGGCACAAGCCTTCTTTGGCATAGTGGCAGATCTGTATCACTCACGCAGTATTTTTAGAATCAAGGGGATTGAAAATTATGTCCTGAGATGTTTTGGGGGAAGACTTACTATCTTTCCAGGGCGACAGGTGTTGAAATATTACCGTATTTAAGACTCAAATGCCATCTGTATTTCAGGTCACAGAATATAGACTGATTATCATCAGGACCATCTCTTTGTCAGTTCTGTTAGGATTGTTGGTGGTTTGCCAGATAATAGAAAGTTAATCACGAGTCTGTTTCAAGGATGTGGCCAGAAAGCGCATCAGGTTTCAACCAAAGATTGGAATCAGCGGCAGCCAGCCCGTACTGGTCAAGTACATGGTGATGGGGGACGCTGTATTATCCACACGGTTTATTTTTTTAAAAATAGCTAGGCTTTGATCCTCGGCCACAATGAATTTATAGTCTGTTGAGAAAGACTATTTTTATAGGAGTTTGTGATAGTATCATGAACACAGTGTAAATATTTATATTTGAAGGTCCACATTAATGAAATATACAGTTATGGTGAAAGAAATGTTAAAACCATTTGTGAATTTTGAATTCATTCAAAAAGACTTAAAGAATGTTAATTATAGTATAATTAATTCAGTTCGACATTTGAAGGCCAGTTAGTGTTGGGCTAGGCGTATTTAACACATGGACCTAAAAACACATCAGGGATTGTGAAGAGACACTCATGAAATAAGTTAAATGTGTATAAAAATGTTTAAGTGATGTTTGTTATTGTTTGAAAGTTCCACGTGGAACAAAGTGAGGAAATGTATGTCACATTTAAATAAAATCTGCTGTGTCTGTAAATCCCTGATTATATACCCACTGTCTTCAAAGGCCCAAGGGAAATGTAGGTAATGATGTCCATGACTGTTGGACTTTGGAATCTAGGGAAGTGGCTGGAAAGTTGATCTGGGAAAATTTTATTTAGTGCTAAAGGGCAGGCACTTTTTGTTAAGTCTAAATGGAATAAATACTACTTTTCCTTCATATTCTTGGTCTGTTGGTAAGCCATCAGTCAAAGTTGGTATCTGTTGAGGAACAAAGAATGCCGATTTTGACTTGCCAAGGTCATAGGTCTTTCTGCGTGTGTGAGCATGTTGTGTTATCCAGACTACTGGTTCCTCCCACTGTGAATAGCGGATGGTGGGTCACACAGAGGGAGAGAACGTGAGTTTTTCTATCATGGCCGTAGCTGAGTGGCTAGAACCCTGTGCCACTTGTGCAGCTGATGGCTTCTGCTCTTAATCCCAGTGTTTCATAAACAACTTATACTTGTGTGGTATGTTTTTAGATTACTGCATATTTCAGATCCCTGTTGTTCCAGTTGGTTGTCCCCAGCAGCCCATTATATGCATCAGGTGGTATCACAAATAAGGAAACAGACTCAAGATGTAATGACAAGTGGACAAGCTAGAATTTGAACTGGGGAATCTTTCCACTGTATTCATAGAACAAGTGGCTGGATCTACACGAATCGCTCCCACACTTCAAGGAAACACCTGAGGGTGAATCAGCACAGTTGTGTCTGAAGGAAAGCAGAACCTTGCCTTTCTCGCTCTCAAGTGTGGAACTGAGTTGTGCTGTCTCATACAGCAGCCACTAGCCACATGGGGCTATTTACATTTAAACAAAAATTTCGGTTTCTCAGAGTCACGTTTTGAGTGTTCAGTAGCCGACATATATGAGACACTTCCATCATCACAGAAAGTTCTCTTGGACGTACTGGTCATCTCTCAGAAAGAATGTGGAGAATGAATTTAGTGTACATGCAGGGGATTGGCGGGGGAGAGAGAGCGAGCAAATCCCTCCACCACACCGGCTTTCCTCCTGAGGGACTGGCGCTATTTTGAGTTCAGCCGTCATGAGAACAAGGAAAAGATGAATTTCAAACTTCATATTATGTTTACATTTTAATCTTTTTTGATAGCCTTGGAACACAGAAATTTCAAATGAATGAGGACATTTAATGGTGATGATAAATTCTATGCCTCTTATAGCTGGGCCAGTATTGCAGCCAGACTTTGGCTAGATGGGAAGTGGGACACGTCATGAGACCTGGCAGCAAAAACTCGGCCACGCAGGATGGCATTCCTGGAAGGAATCATTTTGTCTGTGGCCACGCTCATTGGGGATGCCTCAGAGTAGGGCCTCAGGCATGAGCTGCGGGAACAAGGAGTTGGGGTACTGTGCGGGAACAAGGAGTTGGGGAAGAGGGGCTCAGTTCAAGTCACACTTGGTGACAGAGGAACAAGGCGTGTGCGTGCTGCCATCAGAAGGAAGTTTTGGTGCCAAGATGCTGGCTGAGAGCGCCCGCGTCCCCAGTTTTGGATCAGCGCTGAAGCTTCGGCTCAAAGCCTGCGTGTCAGCTCTGAGGGTTCCGAGCAGGCGGGGCACAGGGGGAGGGCTCTCTGCCTGGTGCTGGCTCCTGCCGAGCTCTGAGCAGTGTCTGCAAACATCCGAGCTAGCTGATGAGGGACACAAGAAGTCTGCTCTAGGTTTTGTCCGCTGGAAAAGGAGTATCTCTCTTTCTGTGTATGTGTGCTGTGAGCTGGTAGGTTTAAAGATGCTTAGACTGTTGTTATAATAAATTTGACCTAGCTAGACTCCAGCCTTCTTACATGAAAGTAACTGTGAAAAGGTAAGTAAAAACTTTTAACAACAAGGAGCATCTCTAAAGACTGGGCAGTAAATGAATGCATGCAGGAAACGGGCCCTTGAGGACCTGCTGTGATTGGCCACTTTGCTGCGGGTGCCCTGCTTACTTGGCAAAGCTCAGAAAAGACTGGCCTGCATACAAGCTACTCCAGTGTGTTTAATGTAAACATATAGTACTTTTTTTTTTTTTTAAGTATGGCAACTGAAAGGTTAGCATCCACTTGCCTGAGAATTACTCTCTCTAGAAAAGCACAGGATTCTAGGGAGCCAGGGTTTTTTCTGCATTGTTCATGACTGCCGGAGACTCTTAAGTCTCCTCAAATGGTGGTGCATTGGTAGAAGAAGAAGAGCATGGATTTGGGTGACTTTGCCTGGGTTGGAAGGTTGGTTTGAGACAGGTTGAGGCAGCAGGCCCACCTTCTAGAAGTGGCCTTACTAACGAGTAGTTGGCCCTCCAGAGTGGGGCTGGGGAATGAGGAAAGGTCCCCAGGAACAAAAGGGGAAGAGATCAGTAGAACAGTTTACAAGAGGATGCTACCTACACCTCTGACTGCAGCCTGAGCCATCATTTTTGTTTCCGTGGGAATATTCTGTCTACCCTCAAAGGCACATGAGTGAACTAAACTGATTTTATTCACATTTTGTTTACATCACGCTGTTGAGATCTTCAGCATGGTAACCTTATAAACAAATTAACTTGGATGTATACAAATTATTTCATCTCCTCCCCTGGAAGTTTAAACAGGTGTGATAAACAACGTATGTTATGCTAACCATGGGTGAAGACAGCCCAAGGTTTGAATAAGCAGAGATGACTTTTATTTCTGTACCGATAAAACACTCTAACACATGGGGGAGATTTTTGTTTTTTTTTCCTTTGAATTGGTTGGCTGAGCCTCACACTGACCTGAAGTCATGATCTGAAGTAGGTAACACACACCTTAGTCGATGGAAAGAGCTGTCTCTGTCAAAAGGAAAGTGTGCTTCACCTACCATCAGAACACTGTGTGCTTGCCTCCTCGCCACTTGGGAGGATTTATGTGCAGAAGGACCTCCCGAAGCACATGAGGGAGGACAGAGACGCGGGTGCTGCATTGGAGCCATTGAAAGTAATATGTGGATTCTGGGTAGTCGATGCTGAGCTGGGAGGAGAGGAAGAGCACTCTTGTCCAATACAAGCTAATACAAGAACACTGTTGTTCTCTCCACAGCCAGTCTGGCGATCCAGAAGATGCCCCAGCTCTGGTGATGCTCCTGGAACCTCATCTGTGCCTCCGACATTCTCCCAGCCTGAGACTGCATCTATAAATTGGGATGTGGGAAAGCAGGAAGCAAAGCTCATGGTAACTGAGAGGCCCATGTCTGGGTAGAACCAGGCCCAGGACCACGACGCTGCCTCTCCCCTGGTCTGGAGTTCAGGCTGCCGTGGCTCTGCTCATGTGCTCAGCACCATCCTTCCATTTGTGCTTAAATGGCACAGCATTTGGTCAGCGCATCTGAAAAGGAAGGTGTGAGAAGTAAAGCCCATGGCCACCTATCCCTGCCAATTATGTGGCAAGACGTTCCTCACCCTGGAGAAGTTCACTATCCACAATTATTCCCACTCCAGGGAGCGACCTTACAAGTGCTTGCAGCCAGACTGTGGCAAAGCCTTCATTTCCAGATATAAATTAATGAGGTGAGAGGCTCTAGAAAAGGTATGTACTTTGACACATACCTTTAAGTGGCTTTGCTAGCCCTCTGACCAGAGACCGCAAGGGAAAATGGATGCAGAATGTGGATGCACATTAGCCTTGCACACTGCAGGGTTTAATGCGGTTTTCTGTGACAGTTTTGCATGTAGTGTCAGTTCGTTCATTCAGTGAGTATTTCCTGTGGTCCTACAATATGCCAGGCATAAAAACACAAAGATGAAAAGACCCGTGCTGGGGAGATAGTCATGCAAACACAATTAAAATGCAGTGCAGGTGCTTGGACAGAGGTGTGCAGGTGGAGGAAGCTGTTCTCCGCTGCTTGATGAGGAGCGTCGGTAGGGCTTCTCAGAAAGACCCAGCCATACGCTGGACCAGGAGGCGGACAGAGATGAGGTTCTGGGGAAGCCCGAAGCCTTGGCCTTAAGGCGCACAAGTCTAAAGGGTAGTGGTGGAGGAGGAACAGGTGAGGCTCAAAGTCGAGGCAAAAAAGGAAAGCAGCTCGTAACTGGCCTTAGCCTCTGTCCTGAAGGGTCTGTTTATTGTAATGAGTCTGAGCAGTGGAAAAGGTGGTTTTGATCAGGGTGTTAGAGGACTGTGGTAGTAATTCGGAGGCGAGAGAAGAGGCAAGTAGACTGAGGGGGGAGGTGTGAAGTAATAGTCCAGTATGAAATACGGAGCATGTGTTCGCGTCCTGACAGTAAAGATGGAGGGGAGGGAACATCTCCCAAGTGCCAGCTTTCAGAGCAGTTTCTCAACTTGCGAGGAGTTTGTCCAACCTCCCAAGTGGAATTCTGTTGGGAATACAGGTGTTGAGTATGTGCATTTAATCAGATTTTCAAAGGCATCCATGATACACCAAAGGATAAAAACCGTTATTTAAAAAAAAAAAAAAGTATATTTAGTCTGAATTATTTTTTGAATGCCTATTAGGTCCTCACTTCTGCAAGGGAAACGAATATACAAGTTGAAGCTTCTCCCTCTAAAGGATTTTCACATCCTAGAAAAGATAAAATACACACACACACACACACACACACACACACACACACAAAGTTGCTAAATTGCACAGTAGTCTCGAGAACTGTTGAGAACAAAGGCCACATGTGCTATGGATGTGGTCCACACGCAGAATCTGTGCTGTTGTGTGCATCTTTTGACACCTGGTTAAGGGAAACTTATTTGCCTTTCATCTCCATGAAATGAACATTAGAGCTTCAACTTTCAGACTACTCACCTATAAATGCACAGGCGAGAGTCGAAATTTGGCAAGAGAGGATGTCCATCTGAGTGGCATGAACATGGACCACATTATTATTACATCTTGGAGTGCCCTTGAAGAGAGGCACCTGAAAGTTTTAAAAAGATCTACATTATGCTCCTGGCCCCTCAGTATACCACTGTCATAATGTAATAGAATCGGGTTTAAAATAAGCCTATAAACGCTTAGGTATTTTAAAACTCAAATGGGTTCTGTACACAGGCCAGTCTTTAGTTGCCAGAAATATATAAGTACCGAGTGCCTATTGTGTGCATCAATTTTGTTGCAAAGCCCTCCTGTTTTGCAACAAGCTTCTTATGTGTGCACAGTGATTGTTCTTCCCAAACACTGAAAGCAGCATTTGCTGCAGTTAAAACCCACAGTGATGATAATTAGGCTGTGAATAAAGATCAAAACACAATACATGAGGTAAATATTTGAAAAAGACTGGGGCTAACAGATTATTGGAATGACAGGAATTAGGTGGGATTACTGTGGTAAACCGAGCTGAGGAGGTTGCCTTAAGCAATATTTGGGAGGTGGTCGTTTCAAGCAAGGGAAACAGCTTGCTGGGCGAAGGGGGCAAACTGTGGCCAAAACGGGAAGCAACGGGCTTTATGCAAGAACCGCCCGCCCTGCACGGCCCCCCGCACCTCACACCTCTCTGGCCTGAAGGAGAGTAAAGAGTGGCAAGATGAGGGGACGCTTTAGGTTTTGTGGTTTTCGTTTTTATGGTGGGGGTAGCATTCCATCCCATTTCCCACAGCTTCAACATAAGCTCTGTTTTAGAAGCAGAGGTTGGAGAAAAGAACTTGCTTAAGTAGAAAAGAGAATGTGGGCCCCAGTACAGCCAACGGGGGACGCAGGTGGAAACAGCAAAAGGCAAGAAGAAAAGAGGATTCGGCAAGGCCGGTCAGAATTCCTGGTGGGAAGTCTTACTGTAAGCAGTTACACTTGGTGCTGCCTGTAGCAGGCTGAAACTGATGGTGTCGTGGACTGTGAGGCAAGACGAGAAGTTGAGGGAAGGAAACCACTTGTTGAAGTAATTTCAGCTATAAGATGATCGTGTTCTAGATTGGGACTATTGCATGAGTGAGTAAGGGATCAATTAAAAGGGGAAGGGCTGGATACCAGGCAAAGGAAAGAGTCAAAAAATTCGGAGGAATGGCAGCTGGTAAAATGTGAAAAGTGGGATTGTTGCTCAAGTAGGGTTTTGTCAACCTGTGCCTTTCTCACAGGTAGTCAGGAGTAAGACAGTCCAGAGTCGTTAACTTGGCGCTGACCTACCCATGGGTGACAAATCTAATCTGATCAAAGTCCTCCACAAAGAATAAAAGGGAGAGAGGCAAGAAAGAAGAGCCAGGGCAGAGCTCAGGGGGTCCTGTTCACTAGTACTAGACCACATTGAAAACTGTTTAAATGCCAAGTTTGCAAACAGTTCCCCCTCACATCTATTGCTGATGATGTATCTGTGGATATCTTGTGTAAGAATGGGGTATAAGCCTTGTATAACTTGGCTTGCAAAACCCTTTCTGCAGTCTGTTTCAATACATGCAGAACTTGGGGACACACTTCTGCATGTCCCAGGTGCCTGTCGCACTGGCTCCTGTCTCTCCACAACTGTCTGTACCATTATACGTTTCCCTGTGTACGCTGAGCTCTGGTGTCCTGGAGGGAAGGGACGGAAGGAACTTCCTTTTCCTTCTATCCCCTGCACTTAGTTGGCTTTTTGTTTTTAAAGGAGAAAGGGAGGTGACCTAAGGTTTTGCTTTATTTTAAGAAAATGACAATTAGACTCAAATCACCTTTATGTTTTTGAACTGGCTTCCCAACAGCGGCTACTATAGACCCCTTACCAATTCTAGAAAAGGATCAGGAGTGGACAATGTAGGTTAGAAGGTTGGGTGAAAGGTATGATGAGTATACTTTTGACTTCAACATATGGTCTTTAAAGAAATTCTTTTTTTACAGAATGAGTTGTTAGAAATTCTTTTGTACCCAAAGCCACAAGTTCAATTGCATCTCAGAGGCGTGCAGCCCGTCTCCAGTTCTTCAAGATCCCACTGAGACACCCTCAGCCTGCTTCGTGAAGGTCACTGGTAATTTCATTGGCAAAATTCAAAAGGGCTTTTTCTAGAAGGACTAAGCTTCTACAACAGTTCAACGTTTTCCTTTGAGGGGCGCGCCTGGGTGGCTCAGTCGGTGGAGCATCCGACTCTTGATTTCAGCTCAGCTCATGCTCTCATGGTTTGTGAGTTCAAGCCTGTGTGGAGCTTGCTTGGGATTCTCTCTCTCTGCTCACGCTCTCTCTCTCTCTCTGCTCACGCTCTCTCTCAAAATAAAAAAATGTTAAAAAAAAAAAAAAGTTTTCCTTTGAGCTTCAGGGACAAGCCATAGTCCTCTTAGTCGGTCTGAAACATCAAAATACCTGTATTATACTTGTAAAGCACAAATCCATTTTGGAAAACCATCACAATTCCATTTGTTGTAGTTCCACTGAGCTCCTAAAATCTAAACTCTGTTGGTTTTTTAATTTTTATTATTGTTTTTTAAATATAATTTATTGTCAAGTTGGCTAACATACAGTATATACATCACGAGAATCTACCCCTAAACTCTGTTGGTTTTAAAAAACAAAACAACCTCGATGAGGAAATCCTGTTTGTCATCCTTAAAACTTTAAAAAGGTTCATTTTAATAACTGAGTGTATGCTGTGAAACGCCAGGTCCTGTATGTTACTTGTACTTCCAGAACAGCATCCTTAATTGCAGCTTGTGGCTTGAAGTACAACCTAGGCTGCTTCACAAATGTTGTCGTTCGAGCCTCTGGAGACAGGGGCTGCACACCTCTGAGATGACAGCTGATAGAAAATCTTAAATGGGGGGCCGAGACTTGAGCATGAGGCTCAGGCTCACAGCACAGGTGGTGGGGTGGCATTCTGGGTTTTGGGTCCAAGTGAACACTCTCTGAGGTCAAGGATAGACTTTTCGTGTTATTTCTACGGCCTGAACTTTTTGCCTCAATTAATGAAAACCAAGCAGGAATTGTACATAGGATAAAAACCTAAAATCTGGGAAGAGGGTGTGAGGGGGCGCATGGGGTTCTGTGTAGAAGGTTAATTGGGTCACTTTTGAAAATTGAGTAATTTCCGGAGAGTATAGAACATCCATTGAACCCCTTCCTGAAAATGACATATTTTTAAATATTCGTATTTGCTTAGAAATCTTTGCCTATATGAGGAAAATAGGTTCTCAAAGAGTATTTTTTTACAGGTATGAAAATTGTATGATGCCTTTAGTGGTGCCTATTTTTTTTTTTTTTATCACAGAGTTATATATTTGTAGAATCCGGAAAGTCATGGAAAAGTTATTTTTTTTTAACGAAAATAATTTCTTACGCCTGCACCTAGAGAAAACTATTAACATTTTAATATTTTTCCTACACCTTTGACTGTTGAAATTTCAGAAGGGACTCAATTTTTTTTCCTTCTGTTCCTAGGCACATGGCTACCCATTCGCCCCAGAAATCTCACCAGTGTGCTCACTGTGAGAAGACGTTCAACCGGAAAGATCACCTAAAAAACCACCTCCAAACGCATGACCCCAACAAAATGGCCTTTGGGTGTGAGGAGTGTGGGAAGAAGTACAACACCATGCTGGGCTACAAGAGGCACCTGGCCCTCCACGCGGCCAGCAGTGGCGACCTCACCTGCGGGGTCTGCGCCCTAGAGCTGGGGAGCACCGAGGTGCTGCTGGACCACCTCAAAGCCCACGCGGAAGAAAAGCCCCCCAGCGGCACCAAGGAGAAGAAGCACCAGTGCGACCACTGTGAGAGATGCTTCTACACCCGGAAGGACGTGCGGCGCCACCTGGTGGTCCACACAGGCTGCAAGGACTTCCTGTGCCAGTTTTGTGCCCAGAGATTTGGGCGCAAAGACCACCTCACGCGACATACCAAGAAGACACACTCGCAGGAGCTGATGAAAGAGAGTCTGCAGTCTGGAGACCTTCTGAGCACCTTCCACTCCATCTCTCCCCAGTTTCAGCTGAAGGCCGCCCCGCTGTCTCCCTTCCCTCTGGGGGCTCCCGCGCACGCGCAGAACGGGCTCGCCAGCGGCCTGCCCGCTGAGGTACACGGCCACGCCCACAACCCCTCGGATCCAGCCTCCCAGCCTGTACAGGCGCCGCCGGAGCCCCTGGCCCCCCTCCACCCCGTAACCTCTCCCAGCTCCCCTCCCGCGCCCCTCCAGAATCACAAGTACAACACCAGTTCTACCTCATACTCCCCACTTGCAAGCCTGCCCCTCAAAGCAGATACTAAAGGATTTTGCAATATCAATTTGCTTGAGGACTTGCCTCTGCAAGAGCCTCAGTCACCTCACAAGCTCAACCCAGGTTTCGATCCGGCTAAGGGAAGCGCTGGTAAAGTGAGCCTGCCCAAGGAGCTACCTGCAGATGCTGTGAACCTAACGATACCTGCCTCTTTGGACATTTCCCCCCTGTTGGGCTTCTGGCAGCTGCCCCCCCCCGCCACCCAAAACGCCTTTGGGAATGGCACTCTCACCTTGGGGCCTGGGGAGTCTCTGCCCCACAGGTTAAGCTGTCTGGGGCAGCAGCAACAAGATCCCTCACTAGCCATGAGCACTATGAGCCTGGGCCAGCTCCCCCTGCCCCCCATCCCCCATGTTTTCCCAGCTGGCACCGGCTCTGCTATCCTGCCTCATTTCCATCATGCATTCAGATGACTGGTTTTTAAAGCGTCCTTTTCTTATTCTGGAAGATGTGTTTTAAGGAGCATGTAAGCATCAGTTATGCTACGAGGAGAGATTTGGAAAGCGGGACTGGAAATACGGCTAATTCAGTGACGACTGGCTTGAGATAAGAGAGTTCTCGAACTGCATGTATCGTGCCAACTGTCCTGCGTGTTCATGCTTTGTACCAAATTTGATAAGCAAGTATCCTTTAATGGAACTGCAAATATTGTCAGAACCGACATCCAAACGAGGGCTGCTATATATAGGTGTTTGTCAAATTGAATTTAATCGTAAGCCATGATCATAATAACGTTAACTAATTTTATGTGGCACTGCCTAGTAAAGGGAACTATGGGAAGGTTTGGCTTTCTCCAAAATGGGAGAATTTTTAAAATACAAAATAACCTTTATATTGCATATTATAACTAGGCTGTGTATTTCTTTTCAGGGATTTTTCTACCTTCAGGGTTGGATGTAGTTTAGTTACTATTGCCATAGCCAACCTGTAGTTTTACAGAAACAATTTCTTGTGGAATAATAGACGTCTCCATTTTAAAAAAGCATTTTAAATGTAGTTTGAATATTTTCCACAAGATGCTACAATGTGAGTTATCACTTCATGTATCTTAAAAGACTAAACTGGTTGTCAGTTACATCTGACAGAAAAAAAAAAATCACTGCGTAACCAGGTTAAGTGGTAAAATAATCCAGGCGTCAGTCAAAAGAAAGCATTTTGCTGACTTTAATATTGATTATATTTTTAACAGGAATTTAAGAAAATATTACTGGAATTTTAAAATATATATATATATTAAACAAGAATTTTCTTTGCTCTGTCTGGCTTAAAATACTACTCTGCTTAAGTATTATTTTTAATCACCAATAAATGCATTTAAATTCATCATTTAAGTCAATATTAGTTTTTTTCAAAAGGATAACATTTGCAATGTAACTATAATCTATGTCTTGAATTTGGTATCTAATGAGTTTAAGAATATAAAACCTAACCTTTTTTTTTAAAGCTCCTTTGTCTTTTGTGTTTAGAGGCTTTCTATATGAAGATATATCTTACATATAATAAACTCTACAAATCCTGCAGACTTGACTGATTTTTTTTTTTACAAACTACACGCGTGTAACCATCCAGATTGGGATATAAAACATTTCCAGCTCCCTAGCTGGCTCCCTCATGCCCCCTCCTGGCCATTACTCCCCCCACAGAAACTACTATTGTGACTTCTATTCAGCATCTGTTAGAAACTACTCTTGGAGTAAATTAGGATTTAAGGTGGAAGCTTAAATGCTTCAGTTAAGTTCCCACCACTGTGACTTTATTTCTAAAAATTACTGATAAAACATTTTGAATTCTGCCATAATATTATGTAATTTATTTCTGATGCGGATGTCAGAGTACTAGCTACTGAAGTGTAGTCTATCCTGGACGACCATGTTCCAGTTTTACAATGGTCCTTACCATTAATTTCTAGTACAGATTAGAGATTTGCCTATTCCTTGTTGGGATTTCTTCAGAAAGTATTAGGATCCCTTGAATCTGAAAAGCCTATTTCTGCTTTGTCTCTGATTAGGATGGGGTTGCGGGGTGGGCCGAGAAAAGGAAGCCGTGAGAACCTTTGTCCGTCAAAGAAGCCTGTTAGCCAATGTGAGAGACCCTGGCCCGTAGCCCTTAATGGTGATGCTGATGAACACAGGGCACCAAGTGACCCAGGGCTTGGCTGCAGTATGGGGAACCAACATGGTGGATCCTTAAAGTACAGTTTAAGCTGTGGGTAGGAAATGAGAAAAAGGGGTAAAGTTTCTTCAGTAAGACTCCAGTGGGAGGCCTATCTCCATTCCTATTTCCACTCTTACCTGAGAGAAGGCAATCTGCCAGAGCATGACGAGAGTACTGGTTCACCTTAGCAAAATCTCCCAAGATCCTCTTACGGAACCTTCCACAAATACTTTTACATGGCTTCGTAGTCTTCAGTCCAATCCAGAACACATACTTGATACACCTGAGCACAGAACATAGCGTTTGGTCCCAAAATATAGATCAAAAGAGTTCAGGTGTTGTACTTGCTATACTACGAGTGGGAGTAGCTTGGGATTCTCCTATTTAAATTTAGACAGGAGGGGTGCCTGCGTGGCTCAATCAGCTAAGTGTCCGGCCTCGGCTCAGGTCATGATGTCATAGTTCGTGGTTTCAAGCCCCAAGTTGGGTTCTGTGCTGACAGCTCAGAGCCTGGTGCCTGCTTTGGATTCTGTGTCCTTCTCTCTGCCCTTCCCCTGCTCATGCTCTCTCTCAAAAATAAGCATTTAAAAAATAAAAATAAATCTAGGAAAAATGGGCTAATTCCTAATTTAAATTCCCTGAGTTCAAGAAAAAAACTGGGTGGTTTTGTGGGTTAAGCGTCCGACTTTGGTTTTGGCTCAGGTCATGAACTCACAGTTCGTGAGTCTGAGTCCTGCATAGGGCTCCATGCTGTCAGCGAGGAACCTGCTTGGGATTCTCTCTCTCCCTCCTCTGCCCCTCCCCCACTCAAAATAAATAAAAGCTTTAATTAAAAATAATCCTTGGGGCACCTGGGTGGCTTGGTCAGTTCAGTGCCTGACTTCAGCTCAGGTCATGATCTCACGGTTCGGGGTTCGTGTCAGCTGTGCTCACAGCTCAGCGCCTGGAGCCTGCTTCAGATTTTGTCTCTCTCTCTATGCCTCTCCCCTACTTGCACTCTGTCTTGCTCTGTCTCCAAAAGATGAATAAAACATTAAAACAATTTTTTTAAATAAAAATTCTTACATGAAAAAGCAGGAGTACAAAACACTTTACAAAAAGAGTGTATTCACCCAGAGGACGGCAAGGAGAAGGAAGAGTTGAGACACCACCTCCCCACAGAGCCATAGAAACCGGAGGCAAACTGAGCAGGTGACTTCTGACCTGGCCACGAGAAACAGCCTGAGGCCTCTTAAGAGCATCCTTCCCACAGGACGGGAAGGTTCTTGTATCTTGTTCCTCCACTGCAGCGTTTCCCCCGAAATTGTGTGCACTGGTGTGGGACAATCCTTTGTCGTATACAGATGGAAACTTAGGATATTTACTAATTAAAGTTTATCAGAAGAAAATATCAAAAATGGGATTTCACATTATATAGACTGAAGCTGGATAAAAAAACCGATTCTCCTAGTAAGTAAATAATGCCAGTAAATAGAACTCCAAAGACTGTTTCACCAAAAAGTTCTAACACCAAAGTAACATTTCTTTAAAGACCTATTAAATGTCCGAAAAAAACCACCAAAACTTCAACCACTTTCACGCAGGCTGATATGTTGTTTAATGATACTGTTTTGAAAATTTTAAAGGGAGTAAAGAAGAAGAAAATCTGAATCTAGTTTTTACTTGTTCTACATGACGTCTCAAGAAGAATCGTGGGCTTATGGAACAGCTGTCTGCCTTCCCCCCCCCTTAGGTGGCATTCCTGGGTACACAGCCACGCAGGCTGATAAGGGGAGACCGTCTGAAAACAAAAAAAGGCATTTACTTTAGAACTTCATTGTTTCCACATTGGGAATGTTAAATAATACAGGCCTCATTACAGTTTTAACAACACAAATCACAATATCAAAAAAAAAAAAAAAAAAAAAAAAAAGTCTCCATAGCAGTCCGATTCAGTATCAATCTCAGGGAAATGGCCTTTTTTGGGGGAAATGCGTGTGGAAGAAGGGACAGGGCTGTAGCCTCCCAGGTCAAAATGAGGGCTCATTCCCCTTTCCTGTGGTTTACCAGTCAGAAGCTGAATATCATTTTCAAACTATGTGCACTTTTGTTTAACAAAAGAGTATGTTTCAAGAGCATATATTTTGTTAATCCAAGGGAGGGTTTACCCAAATTTCTCTTTGGTTTGCCTGCTATGGATTCATTCTCTTAAAGGCTCAGTAACAGGATCTTACACATTAAATGATTAGCAACACCTGGATTAGAGGTTAATTTTTTTTTTTTTCCCCTTACCTGGCCTCTAGGAGTTAATCTTTTTTAGAAGATTTAGTAAATCCTTGTCTGAGTTTTGCTCCAGAAGCAGGGTCCACTGCTAATCCTTTGCAGACATAAACAGATTTGTTATTATGTAAAAGCAAACATTAGCAAGAAAAAAAAAAGGAATGATGAAATCCTCACATTGGATTCAGAAGTCTCTCCTTCCTTTTTGTTTTGTTCTGTTTTGTTTTGTAGCTATAGACAAATAATCAGTCTCTATCTTGGGCCAAATAATAAGGGAAACAGGGACAGTCCCAGGCACCTTCTCTGTCTCTGCCCCTGGCGCTTCTCGCGGTTGGGCCCTCCGGGACCAGCACCTCGGGCGGGCCACCACTTATACAATCCGACTCTCCCCGCTGCTGTCCTGGCTTTCGAAATGTTCCCTGAGTATATCGTGTCTTCACAGTTCTTTGCCTGCTCTCATTCCAGAAAGGGTTTGATAAGCCTTATGGAAGCATGAGATGCCTTTCCTCCCAGGGCTTATTTTCATAGCGATGGACTCATTCCATAAACAGGATTCTTTTCCTTTGTGCCCAGCAGCATTATTAGGTATCAGGGTGGAGGAGTTTGTAGATACAAGCCTGCCATACCATGGTCTGTTTTGTACTGCATGGTATGGGACAGGAGTCTCAGGTAAATCTTTTTTTCTTGTTTTGTTTTGTAAAATGGAACAATCCCCTTCTGTCCTAGAGGCCTCCTTTCCACTCCGTGTTTTATGAAGGGGGAGTTACCAAACAACCCAAGGACACCGTGAATCAAACTAATCAAAAGACATGGGAGTAGAAAGAGTTTTCAGTGTTCCTTTTACTGAAAGTCCTACAAGTTTTAGGTCTTCCAAAGACGCGGCAACTGACCCCTTGATACTCGTTACATCTGCTACATAATTAAATTAGTAAGGAGGGGATGCCAGTGCAGGGAAGATGCTTACCTTCATCAAATCCGCTGGATCCAAAAATAAAAGCAGAGCCCACCCCAACAAAGTCGTGCAATACGATTCAGTGAATACATGACACAATATAGGTCTAGCGCCCAGAACTGTATTGACACAGTGATCTTAGTTGCTCTGTATGAAAGTCCTGGAGAAGCTTCGCTCAGCAGTACCTTCTCAGAAACCCAGTCCCTTTTACACCCAAACCCTCGAGCAAATAGCCACCGGTTGTACATTTGCTAACTAGGCTATAAACTCACTTTGCAACTGAACATCAGAATCTTCGTGTGAGTAAAAGATCTATATAACTTTTTCCACAACAATTTCCATACATAAGTATTACAGGTAATGATTACAATATTATCAATGCCTATCTCCTTAATGTTTTCATTTTTGACCCAGTTTTCCCAAAGCAGACAAAGGTCTGGTCGGCTCTACCCCTTTCGATGAAGTGGCTTGAGCCAGTTCCTTAGGCTTTCTGTGCTTCCCTCACCTGTAAACCAGGAACAGGACAATTACGTGTGCACTGTATTACTGTGAGGTGTGAACGAGATGATATATGACGTGCTCAGAGGACTGCTCGACATCAGTCTGGGCCATCATCCACGAAGAAGGGAATTACTTAGCACAGCAAAAAAGTGGATACAACCTAGCTGCTCACTACCAGAAAAAGAGCTAAATAAGTAATCTGTGATACAGTGCTCGAAGACAAAACTCTTTTTGCCATAGGGAAATCTTCAAAATGTGTTAGTGAAAAAAAGTGAGGATGAGTAGAGGGGCTATGATCCCAAACTTTGATAAAAGGGAAAAAAAAAAAGAAAGTGTAAGTAGAGGAAAATGGAAAACGGTATCGATGTTGACAGTGGTCATGTCAGGATATGGAATTATGAGTGTCTTTTATTTTCTTCTTTTTCTCCATTTTCCAGTATTTTCCACACTAAGCATTAATTTCCTACGTGATACTTTTTAAAAAATGCTCCCTCAAAAGAATTTTCTGCAGACAAACAAAATAGCTCGAAATGAGAAATCCCAGGCCATCGTGATTGCCTAACTTATGCAGCCACCAGTGACGGAGGAGGCAACATCAGCGTCTGCCTTTATCACATCCAGTCTGGGTGCCTCACTGAGCATTTATGACCCTCCCTTGCTCCAGGGCCAGCCTTCCGTTCTAACTTGATTTTCTGCTCACACCCCAACTCGTTGCTATGCTTTGGGCCATTTGTTTCCGAAGTATGTCTTCTGCATTTTCCTTTTCTTATCTTTGTTTGTTCCATCTTCAATTTTTCTCCACTGGTCAAAATCTAGCTCACCCTGAAAGCTCATCCCGAATGCCTCCGCCCCCATGAAGCTTCCTCTCTCTCAGGCTGACACGTCCTCCATAAAGCCTCCTGAGCAAAGATGATTTTTCTTGTATTCCCTTAGGACTTCCACTTCTAATTGTTAAATACTTGACATAATTTTTAACTGCCTCTTCTCTAAGACTTTTAGGAATCTACGGGCATAAGAAATAACCATGCATAATAATATGTTCAATGAATGAATCCTCTGAACATCCACGGCAGCTGCTGTGTCAACTTCATACATCACATGCTTTCTTGAATCAGAGATCTTCCCGCACACGCTTATCTTCTCATAAGATTGTGACTTTTGCACACGTATCTCCCCTGACTGAATTTAGAACAAAATGCTGTACCTGGAAGGTACTACATGTTTATTTTGCTCAAGAGAGGTTAAGAATGAAAGCCAGAGTTTTAGAGAGTTAACCGCCAGCTAGATGAAAGACAATAATAGGATTTATGTGGAAGGCGAGTGACACCAAGTGGCCTAAACTACTGATTATCAATCTAGAAATAGCAAAGCCCAGCAACCACAATTTTTTAAAAGATTCTCCTATTCTCAAATACACTGAGACCGAGCTGAACAGAAACAACGGACAGTAAGATGCAGATCTGATTCATATCAGAGCCTCTTTATATTAGTGAAAGGCAATGTTTTTCTCTAAGCCTTAAACATTTTTAAGAATTCATCTCCCCTGAGATGAATATACTTCTTATATGTTCAGCATGCTTTCTCCCCAGAATGACTCCAAATGAATGTTAACTAATTTAAAGGCATACCAACCGGAGACTTTATATTTAAATGTAAGCAGGTGACACTACAGGAAAAGACAAGGAATTCAATTTTTTTTTAAATGCTTATTTTGAGAGAGAGTGCCTGTGCACATGGGGTAGGGGAGAAAGAGAGGGACAGCGAGAATCCTAAGCAGTGTCCAGGCCATCAGCACAGAGCCCAACACGGGGCTCGATCTCACAAGCTGCGAGATCACGACCTAAGCTGAAATGAGGAGTCAGAGGCTTAACTGACTAAGCCACCCAGACACTCCAAGAAATTAAAATTTAAAAGCATCTTAAACCTGAAATAAAACAAAAACTACCTCTTTTTTTTTTTTTTTAACATTTATTTATCTTTGAGAAACAGAAAGAGACAGAGCATGAGCAGGGAAGGGGCAGAGAGAGAAGAAGACACAGAATCCGAAGCAGGCTCCAGGCTCTAAGCAAGCGGTCAGCACAGAGCCTGATGCGGGGCTCGAACTCACAAACTGTGAGATCATAACCTGAGCCGAAGTTGGACGCTCAACCGACTGAGCCACCCAGGCACACCAAAACAAAAACTACCTCTTAAAGCTAATTAACATGACAATTCTAATTCACATGCCAATAATTTAAGTGGGAAATTACAGAATCAAGATATCTACTTTTCTCCCATATATTTCATTCAAAAAAGTGTTTCTCAAATATCTCATGTGCTCTAAACAGTTCCAACAGGTAGAGATACAGCAGCAGAATTAAAAATAGACAAAGGAGACAGATCCTAGCCTTCTTGAAACTTAAGTTCCTTTTTGGTGGTGGGAGAAAAATATATACAGAATATTAAATGGTAATAAATTCTATATTAAAAAACTACAAAGGGGGAGAGCACATGGGTGGCTCAATAGGTTAAGCATCTGACTCTTGGTTTTGGCCTAGGTCACGATCTCATGGTTTGTGAGTTCGAGCCCCATGTCAGGCTCTGCACTGGCAGCACGGAGCCTGCTTGGGATTCACTTTTTCTCTCTCTCTTCTCTCTCTCTCTGCCCCTCCCTTGCTAGAGCGTGCATGCTCTCTTTCAAAATAAATAAATAGACACTAAAAAGGTTTTTAAAAAGACTACAAAGGGAATTATGGAGGGTTTAAGTTTAAACACAGAGGTTGGGGGGGGGTCACTCTGAAGACGACACTCAATAAAGACCTGAAGGGAGTGAGCAGTGCAGGTCAGTGGGGGACTGTTTTGGTCTTCAGCCAAAGGAGCAACAAGAGCCCTGGGTCAGGAGTGTGCAGGCCTGTTACCGCCTAGAACAACACAGGGGCGCCTGGGGGACTCCGTCAGTTAAGTGTCCGACTTCAGCTCAGCTCACGATCTCAGTTTATGAGTTCAAGCCCCGCGTTGGGCCCTGTGATGACAGCTGGGAGCCTGGAGCCTGCTTTGGATTCTGTGTCTCCCTCTCTCTCTGCCCTTCCCCCACTCATACTCTCTCTCAAAAATAAATAAACATTAAAAAAAATTTTTTTTTAAAGAACAACACAGAGGTGGTGGTGGTATAGAACCCAGTGTGAGCCATGTTAAAAAATGTGCCTTTTGGGGTGCCTGGGTGGCGCAGTCGGTTAAGCGTCTGACTTCAGCCAGGTCACGATCTCGCAGTCCGGGAGTTCGAGCCCCGCGTCGGGCTCTGGGCTGATGGCTCAGAGCCTGGAGCCTGTTTCCGATTCTGTGTCTCCCTCTCTCTCTGCCCCTCCCCCATTCATGCTCTGTCTCTCTCTGTCCCAAAAATAAATAAACGTTGAAAAAAAAAATTTTTTTTTTAAAATGTGCCTCTTACTTAGCAACATCACAGTGGTCATAAACCACCATAACATAATACTATTTTGCTTAGACCTACTGGCTATTAATCTATTTTCTGATATATTAGAATGGTGTCTATAACATTCTGCCTAATGTCAAGTGCTGGGACATATCACATCCCAAGACACATTATGGGATGTGTCACATACTGTGACATGAGACTTCTGAGTTGTAGTTTAGGACTTTTTCACTTACGCTTTGCTGCTACTTTGAAGAAATTACTTAGCCCAAGCCAAAAAAACCTCTTCCTTTATTTTCAACACTGTTTCATCCTGACACACTGTCTTCTCGAACCATTCCCAATCGTTTTGCAAATTTACTAGACCAAGGAATGAAGGCCCTATCTCCACTGCGGTACTCAGACCGGACTTTGCACATTGTCAGAGTTCTCTAATCATGATGAATTTAGAAATATTCCCTCCTGGCAAGTAAGGTTCAAGCTCAAACTTAAAAGAGGGCTTTTCACTGGAAGGGAGGCAATATAATCTTTGGAAAAAATAAGGAAAGAAACTATAATAGAAAGAATTTGTCTCTACTGAAGGACACTAATCTATAGTTTAGAAAAATAGCAAGTTTTACCAAATAAACACACATACAATTTGAATTTATTTTTCTCTAAGTGAAAACTAAAACCCCATTGTTAAGTTTTCACAGATCAGGAAAAAAATGAATGGATTGGGCTTACAGGCCTGTAGGGAATCTTTTTCAAATGTCCCATTCCATTTGTAGCCCATGATAAACAACTCATGAGGAATTTCAAAACTACAAAAGCTTTCTGGTGTGGTGACTTTATAAGCTTTGAGACTGGCAGTTCCTGGTCTGATTCTGAGAACTTCTTCAAAATATGACTTCTGATCAGAGGCAACAATATGGCCTTGAGTGAATTCACATTGCCTTCATAGCATAATGTTGATCATAAGAAGAATGCCACATTTATTAAGGCAGCTCAGTGCAGAGGGGAAACACATGTAGGTTTACCGGTCGTGTGCCTTGAACAAATAACTTCTCCTCTCCGAGCCTCTTTCCCTTTCCACAGATTAAAACATTCGGGAGATTATTAGGAGGATAAAATGAAATGGTTCTAGCACATAGGAAGTGCTTTAATGGTGGTTATGCCTTTCTGCTACTTGGAAGAAATTGTTTAGTTCTAGCAAGGAAAATTTCCCTTTTTTTTTTTTCTTTCCCAGCTTTATTGAGATATAATTGATTAGAACATCGTGAGGGTTTAAGGTGCACAACAGGATGGTTTGATACACCTATATCTTGCAAAATAACTACCACAAAAAATTTTTACACATCCATCACCTCACATAGTTACTTTTGGTGGGTGTGTGTGGTGAGGATATTTAAGATCTACTCTCTTAGCAAGTTTCAAGTATATAACACAATATTTTTAACAAAAGTCCCCATGCCGTACATTAGACCCCCGGCACTTACAACTGGGAGTCTGTACCCTTTGACCATCATTTCCCCAACCTCACCTTCACCTAGGACAACCACCATTCTACTTCCTGTTTTTATGAGTTCAGCTTCTTTTAGATTCCATATGTCAGTGTGATCACACGGTATTTATCTTTCTCTGTCTGAACTATCTCACTTAGGATAATGATCTTAATGTCCGTCCGTGTTGTCACAGAAGGCAGAATTTCCTTCTTTTCTATGGCTACATGACATTCCATCATGTCTATATGCAACGTCTTTAACTCTTCATCCAGCAGCAGACACTTAGGTTGTTGCCATGTCTTGGCTCTTCCATTTTCTTCTCTTATTTTCCACACCATACCTGACACACTGCTATATCCCATTCTTAACCTCTTTTCAATTTCACAAGACCAGAGAAGGATGGCTCTAGACCGTCCTGTATCTGACTCTGTATATCAACAGAGTTATCAAAATCCCGATAAATTCGGAAACGCTCCTTCTTGGCAAATAAGTGTTAACCTCAAACAAAACCACATATCTTTACACCCAAAAGCAACACTGTATGTCACAGCTTTCTTCAACCGCCAACAAATCCCAAAGCCAACAAGCGATTCCCCTCTGGTCCCTCATCCGATAGCCGACTCGCTCGCTCCGACTCACCTGGCCTAGCTGGGACCACAGTCGGGGATCCCAGGGCCCTGTTCTGCAGCAACACTCTCACGGCACTGGTTACAGTTGGCTCTTTTTTGGGACTCATCTGAGCCCTAGCCTACAGGAAGAGCAAGAGAGACGGGGAACAAGTCTGTAACCTCAGGTAGCACTCAGGAGGTAAAGCTGTTGCCACTTAACCAGTAGCAGATGGGGGTCAGCTCCAGGACATGCTGCACCCACGGGGAGGGGACACACGCACACCCTGTACCCTCGTTCGCCTGTCCTCCTGCCGGTTCTCAGAGTCACGTCTGGGTTTTGGCACTTGCACTCCATAATCAACCCCTGAGGGGAGTGGTGATATGTTAATCCTGTAAAATTCATTGTATGGAGACATAAGAAATCACTTAATGTCAATAAGGACAGTTATGGAACATTTTAGTTGTTCATTTTACTTGAGGATGATTTTGTTTTTAAATCCACGAACGGAGAAGAAAAACAGACGTTGGCAGGCAGCACATGTTTTAAACACAGAATTCCATCATCTCCACACCACGCCCCTCCCTGCCGCGTAGCGGTAGCTGAACAGTTACATTAATACAGAATAAGGACCCGAAGGTCCTTCGGGGGCTTCCTACCTAGCTACCGGTCCCAACATCTCCATGGCAACTACTGTATAAAGATAACCTGCTACTCCAAGTGAGAGTAGCTCACTTGGCAAGGATAGCCGCGGGGCTACAGCAGGCAGCTCATCCCCATGCAGACAAAGACAGCTATTTCCAGAGGCCCGTACTGGTCTCTTTTGGTGAAGGCTATAACACATTTTTAAAGTTGATTATGTTTAAAATAGAAACACATTTCAGCTGTGCTGTTAACAGCCCTTCGGCAGTAAGACGACCCCTCCCGTCTTGCTCCACTCTGAATGGGCCCCACTATGAGCCCGGCCCCTGAGTGGCGAAGCTGGCAGAAGACAAACAAGGGCTGCTGTTCAGATACACTCTACGGGGAGTTTCCTCAGAAAGCAGCTAATTTTTCTTCTGCGCGCCCAATCACCACTTAGTTCTGGAAAACAAGGAGAGGAACAGGGCCAAGTCACTGGTTACACTCAGGACGGCCAGCTGGCCTTCTTCAGGAATAAAAAGCACTTCCGTTTGCTGCTTCCCTGGGCTCCCTTTGGCCCCACTAATGTGACGAACTTCGTGAACTGGTTAGAACATTTCGAAGAAATGTAATGCGCCCTTCCCTGCTTTAGAAGGTATAGGTAGAGTTTCACTTAGAAAACTTTTCCGGGGTGCCCGGGGGGCTCGGTCGGTTGAGCATCCATCCGACTCTTGGTCCCGGCTCAGGTCATGATCTCACTGTTCGTGGGTTCAAGCCCCACGTCGGACTCTGTGCTGACAGCCTGCTTGGGATTCTCTTGCTCTCTCTCTCTCTGCCCCTCCCCCACTAGCGCTCACTGTCTCTCACACTCTCAGAAATAAATGAATAAACTTTTTAAAAATTAAAAAAAAAAAAAAGAAATTTTAAGAAAGAAAACTTTTCCAACTCAGTTGAATTCAAGCCCAAAGCATCATATACCCCCCAGATTGTGGTGCCTGTCCCACTGACAAGAGAGGATGGCCAGAGAGGAGGAGGAGGGTGGGGCAGCGTGGAAAGAGGAAAGGCGGAGGAGACCTGTGTGCAAGCCACTTTGCTTCTGTTGTCTATAATCCTCGCAACAATGTGGCAAGGTACAGATTAAAGTGAGTCTCAAAGAATTTGTCTAAGTTTACCTACGGATAATAAATTAAAGAATTGAAAGTCAAACCCTAACTAGTGATTACAGAATCTGGGTTCCTTCCACGCCGCACTGCTCCCATGCTATTGCAGGTATAAAGACTGAATCTCTACAACTATATTTATCATAACCACCCTGCCTGCTCCACCAACACATCTATCTCCTGCTTCCTGTGTTTCTTTATCTAGATGGATAGTATACTACCTTCTCAGGCTCCGAAGCTAAAATCCTTGTCAACCCCGATCCTCTTTTAGCCCATATCCAATCGGCGTCTCAGACCCCCCATTCTCAAATTCTTCCTCCGCATACAACCCGTTAGTCCTCTTTCTCTGGGCCCGCATTCTTTATCTGTTGCTGGGACTCCTAACCATGGCCAATCCATCTGACCACTAGTGGCAAAGGTAATCCTTCTAAAACACCAATTGTGTCACTCCAGTCTGCACTATTCAACCCGTCGACACTGCCCACAGAACGACACAGGAGGCAGGTCACAACCAGACAGGAGAGCTAAGAAAGGCGATCTGCAGAGAGGGGAGCTAGCAGAAGCATGCCAGGAAGAAGGGACAAGTTGAGAAAGTGGAGAGGACGACTTCCTGGGTTCAGGGGGGACGTTCCAGTTCCTGTGTGAGGTCCTCAGATTTGAGGGCATCTCGCCACTTCCTCTTTTCCTCCTCTCTGAACTGACTCGAGTGGAAGCCCTTCTAGATCTGATGCCCCCTCACCTGCCCCTTCCCCCTCGCACACAGGCACTCCTCAGGCCACAAACTGGACATTTTGTGTGTAATATCCTCCCCAACCCCCACTCCAGGCTGGTGAACCCATCTGATATTCAAGGAGAAATGCTGCTCTTCTTTGAAGGCTCCCCTGGATCACACTGGCCTCTTCCTCCATAGCGCTCCTGCACAGGTCAAATCCCACAGCTTCCGACTGCCTCGTTTCCAAGCCCTCCTCCACCTCTGTTGAATTACAAATGCTGATCAATCAGCACCTAGCACAGTGTCTGGGACAGAATAGACACTCAGTAACTGTCCACTGTGTATGGAGACAGAGCTCAGAGTCCAGAGTCCGCGGGATATGCTACTGTTGGACAAGCTCCCACCCCCTATTACATACTGGATTTTGTGGAAATCTTTCTCAATGTTTCATACCCTCAAGTATTCAGGCCAGTTTAATCTTTCCTTGGCATCGGAGTCATGTTATGAGACTAACAGTCTCCATAGTATATCGTAAGTTATATCCCTGGGGCCGCTGATGTGTGTGAAGCTGTTTGCCGGACCTCAGTTCTGTTTTCATTAGTCTGTCGTCTTCCGGATCAGCCCGTCCATTTACTTACCCGTACCTATTTGTAACAGCCTGTTTCCATTCATTTACTTTACCTTGCTGATTCTATGGCTTTAAAGAAAAGGCTGCAGACCCCTCCTCTATCAGAGAACAACACAGACAACCTACAGAACAGGTCTTCCTTACGACAGCTTGCCCACTCGGCCAGCCCCGCTTCAGGTTCGCTGTGCTTTTCTGGATGACTAAGGCTGATAGTTACTGTTGCATACATGCACAGGGTTTTACCGTAACACTACAGAAACACTACTTACACATTCAAGGCTTCATCCTGAGAAGCTTCAAACACTGTAGAAATATTTTTTTCTATAATATCCAAAGGTGCTGCTAGCTAGAAAGCATGCCTCAAAAGAAGCCAACTTCCATGAGGATGAATGACAGTGAGTAGCGACCTTGATCCTTATACTTCTGGGGATGGGTAATTTAGGTTCCCTACCAAACCCTACCTGCTCACCCCGAACACGCAAGGGCACAGAGCCAACACCTGGGGAGAGATAGTTACCTGCACCCTGGATGCCATTTTGGCTGCTGTCTGGGCTGGATCAAAGACTCGGCGAGAAGACTGATCCTTGCAGAAATTAATATGCTGACTGGCTGCGGTTTCATTAAACCTCCTCATACAGTATGGGCACTGAATATAATCTAAATGCAAAGATAACAACGAAAAGCAATCAATGTTTCAAAAGCAACTCTGGAATGGGCTATATGAAATGAAATAAATGAGATATGACCTCTGCTCCAACATAAAAGAGCAAAAGTCTCAGACTATGGTTTGAGACAGTGTTATGCCCGAGGGAAAGGTGTACAAGGGCGGAAATAAAGGACAGAGCATGGGGAGACATCTTTCTCCTGTATACATTTATTTCAATTAAATGTGTCTCTTTAAAATGTCTATGTGGGGGGCGCCTGGGTGGCGCAGTCGGTTAAGCGTCCGACTTCAGCCAGGTCACGATCTCCCGGTCTGTGAGTTCGAGCCCCACGTCGGGCTCTGGGCTGATGGCTCAGAGCCTGGAGCCTGTTTCCGATTCTGTGTCTCCCTCTCTCTCTGCCCCTCCCCCGTTCATGCTCTATCTCTGTCCCAAAAATAAATAAACATTGAAAAAAAAATTTTTTTAAATAAAAAAAAAATAAAATAAAATGTTTATGTGGTATTTTCTTTTTTTTTTATTTTTAAATTTTTTTTTTTTAACGTTTATTTATTTTTGAGACAGAGAGAGACAGAGCATGAACGGGGGAGGGTCAGAGAGAGGGAGACACAGAATCTGAAACAGGCTCCAGGCTCTGAGCGGTCAGCACAGAGCCTGATACGGGGCTCGAACTCACGGACCGCGAGATCATGACCTGGGCCGAAGTCGGACGTTCAACCGACTGAGCCACCCAGGTGCCCCATATGTGGTATTTTCTTAGACAATAGACTCATTATATTTAGGCACTTCTCAATTAAGTGAGATATTCAGTGAATCCTTACGTGAAGAAAACAGTCCTAGGATCACAGACGGTTGGTATTGATGACGGTGAAGAACACAGAAGATAAAAAGCCCAGGCTGTGGTACTGGGTGGGACGGAAGGTCACCAGAGAGGTTATGGGGCTCCTCTTGCTCTTTATAGAAGGAGGAAGGTGTCTCAAATTTGGGGGTTTGGGGGATGGGATTTGAAGTCAGTGTCGCTGGCAGAAAAAGACACTACCTCTGCAGTGATTGATTTTTTTTTTTTACTCAACTCCTAAATAAGGAGGCAAATAATAAGTTCAGGAGGGAGGTAAAGGAAAAAGAAAAAGGTGAGGTTCAAAAAGGAGAAAGGGGAAAGCAGGAGGAGTGGTAGGAAAGCTTCAGGGTCCGAGCCTCCCGGGCAGCTCTGTGGGCACCAGGACCCTCTGTGCTGCTGCCCACCGCTCTCCGTTTGGCCCTCGTTTGCAACGACTAACCAGTAAGCGAAACGGGATGTGCCAGAACCGTGGCCTTTGTCGATGAGGAGACGCTCGAGGCAAAGCCATTTTGGAGCCCACCCCTCTGACGTGCGCGGGAACGTGAGATTTGCTTCTTGTTTTGTTTTAGGCACCGGTAAGGGATGACAGAGTGGATAGGAGCACTAGGAGAGAGTAACATTCCCCTTCCCCCCTGCCAGGAAAGATCTGAGACAGCACCGACCTTACGCTTGGTACGGAAATTTGGATTAGTATATGGTCACCCACATCCACATCTACACGGGTGCATGGCTGTTTGAAGCAGTGATGTCTTCAAGATTAAGTCTTTTTGAAGGCATCTTCTAAAACAATTGGGGAGAGTTTTGTTGGAACAAATCATTTCCTTTCCTAGAATGAATACTAGTAAAGTGTAATAATTGGCATATATAAGAAATTGGAATATGACAGATAAGCACTTAGCCTAACCTTTTATTTCACATCCTAGAAGGCAGTATGTAATCATCAATTCAATCTGTATTGAACACCTATTACGTGCCCGGCACTGGTTTATAGTTGGGGGCACAACGACTCTGCAGAAACAAAGTTTTCCCACAGTGGTAAAGGTTTTTCCCTTGAACAGAATAAAATAGGGCAGCATTGGGAAATGATGAAGGCCCTGCAGCCTGCCTGACTGGTTTTGAACCTGAGCTCTTCACCTGCGACATGTGCGAACATCGGCAAGTTACTCAATATCCCTTAAGCTTCGATTTCCCCAGTCCCTACACAGCACCTATTTCATCAGGCTGTTGTGAAAGTTAACTCAGATAAGTCACACTAGGGCTCAGTACAGTGGGCAGGTGGAACATCCTATTACTATAAGGAAACAGGCCCAGCAAGCTTGCGTTTCCAACTACCAAACAGGAATGAAACTGCTTATAAGAGTAAAATTGAAAGTGCCATTATTGTGCAGAATTCATGGTGGTGATGGAGAAAGCAAACCAAGAACTCTTCTCTTGCTTTGGTGGTTTCTTGAGTTTTACCAGCTGAGAGTCAAGGCTTTGGTCAGAAATGCTGCTACCACAAACCCTACTCAGTTTGTGCAAAGACAGTGATCGTGGCAGTGACTGGATGGCTTCTTCATTCCCACTTGTTCGTTCATTGATTCACTGCCACCCTTCTGTGTGGCGCTGTATGCCATCAGGGACACAACAAAGCTGAGGTGTATTTCCCTGCCAACAAAAATCTCAGAGAAAACTAGAAGGCTAGGCAAAGAAGTAGACAAGTGCCACTCATGATGTAAGCTTCTAAGGAAGCACTGGGTCCTCCAGGGGCCCAGAGGAGGGACAGGAAGCCAAGACTTAAAGGGGCAGAGGAAGGGGTGGCTTGGGTGGCTCAGCTGATTAAGCACCCAACTTCTACTCAGGTCATGATCTCACGGCTCCTGAGTTCGAGACCCACATCGGGCTCTGTGCTAACAGCTCAGAGCCTGGAGCCTGCTGCAGATTCTGTGTGTCTCTCTCTCTCTGCCGCTCCCCCACTTGTGCTGTCTCTCTCTCTCTCTCTCAAAAATAAACAAACATTAAAATAATAATAATAATAAAGGGGCAGAGGAAGAAAACTTCAAATACTCTGAGAATGGAAAAAAAATGGTTTTGCAACAATAATCTGAACACAGCATGACTGGTTTACATGGTCCACCGTCATCTCAATCTGAGTCCCCTCTTCCTCTATCAATAATGGTGTCGTGGGGCGCCTGGGTGGCTTAGTAGGTTAAGCGTCCAACTTTGGCTCAGGTCACGATCTCGCAGTTTGTGAGTTCGAGCCCTGCGCTGGGCTGACAGCTCAGAGCCTGGAGCCTGCTTCGGATTCTGTGTCTCCCTCTCTCTCTGACCCTCCCCCGTTCATGCTCTGTCTCTCTCTGTCTCAAAAATAAATATTAAAAAAAATAATAATAATAATGGTGTCATAAAAGTCACTATGTGCTATTTATTTCCAAAGTAATGATCTTTAAAGTCTGACTACAGATGGGTTCTTAGGACGACTATGGGAAAGGTGGCCAGATCTCAAAAACATTCAGCAAGCATCATTTTTAAAATGTAAGCATTGTGTTGAGTGTCCATGTCTATGAAGCCTGTGAAATGGGCACTAAATGTCCCAGGTCTCACTGAAAATCTCAACTGCAAATATTCTCTACCATTGTTCCTATAAAGTATCACAGCATCCTGGAAAGTTGAATGATTAGCACATTTACTTAAGTTAGGAAGAATTACAATAAATGTACGCATGTCACAAAAACTGAGTCATGAAATCAGGAATCATGCTGAGAAAACAAGGAAATGATCTGCAAACTCATGCATACTAGGCCGCATTATATATAACCCCAGTTATAACTGTACATGTTTTCTAGTATTTAAGACTGAGAATATATGGACTAATATAAAATCCTCACATAGTCTAATGGAATAGTAATGAAAAATGTGCTATTTTAGATAATCATTTTGTTTGGTGCATAAAATTATACTAAGGGCACAGGGAAGAATTTAATTATAAAGCTATGTTTTAGCATAAGAACATGAGGGCAGAAAAAGAAATTGTACATGTGATGAGACCTTACAAAGAGAATTATTTATTTTAAGGAAACAATAATCCCCACATTTTAAATCCAATGTGGAAATTAGAGAAATCCACACAGCAGGACAGCTGACATAGTTTCGTTTATTTGACTAAAGAACTATAAAGTAGCCATCAACCCTGTAGCTTCTGCTATTAACAGGAAATACTGCTCATAAAAGATTTTTTTTGTTATATAAGGCTTGTTGCCAAAGTATTATCAAAATCACAGCCATAGATCTTTCTACTTTCACATTATTTTAAGCTATATTTTCATTAGCACCCAGCAAAAGTGAAGCAATTATTAAGATTATTTTCTGGCACACCAGCACGCCCACAACAGTTGTGGCCAGGCCTCTTAGCCAGCTGCGCTGGGAGCTAATCCCACCCACCAGCACGCCCACAGCAGCTGCAGCCAAGCTGCTCGGCCAGCTATGCCAAGGGCCAGCCCCGCCCAGCAGTGCACTCACAGCAGTTACGGCCCAGTCACAACGAGAGGGCACAAGCAGCCCACAGAGAGCACGCTCCTGGAGCTCCTGGTTCTGGTGACCAGGGTGGATTGCACTACTGGGTCCTATAGGCCTTCTACACAAGACATCTACCTTCCTTCAAGACCAGGAAACATAAGTGACCAACCAAATACATAGAAACAAACACAGAGAATAAGAAAAAAAAAGACAGAGAATATATGCCAAACAACAAAAAATAAAAAAAAAAAGACAAAATCTCAAAAACACACACGACTAAACAAAATGGAGATGAGCAATCTCCCTGATAAAAAGTTCAAAGTGATGTTAACAAGGATGCTCACTGGACTTGAGAGAAGAGTGGATGAAGTCAATGATAACTTCAACAAAGACAAAGAAAATGTAAGAACCAATCAGAGAATAGAATAACGAAATGAAAAATGCACTAGAGGGAATCAACATAGATTAGAGGATGCAGAAGAATGGATCAACAATCTGGAAGACACGGTAGTGGAAATCACCCAAACTGAACAGCAAAAATAAAAAATAATTTTTAAAAATGAGGATAGGTTGGGGCACCTGGGTGGTTCAGTCAGTTAAGCATCTGACTCTTGATTTTGGCTCAGGTCATGATCTCACAGTCATGAGATCGAGCCCCATGT